GTGTAGTTTGAGTTGGCTCGGGTCCTGATGTAACTGCCACAGTCTAACAYAGACTGTAAGATGTGTTTGATTAAATTCAGCACAGGGCTACATGGCAGAATAAAAGCAGAGATAAAGATAAAATATACAAATCTTATCTGCTAGGAATAAGAGATTACAAATTCAGTTCATATACATGAAAAAGATTAAAAGGATGGGCCTCTGTTTGAAATCACAATGGGAAGATGAAAAGCTGCACAAGCCTTTCATGTCTTATTTTTGTATTAGTACATTTTTCCCAACATTACCAGTAGTAAGAAGAGAAAATGAGGCTACATCCCAGACCCACTTGAGAAAAGAGATAAAATAATCCACTTACATCTTTAATTTCTCCAAGGTTTGCAGAAACTTGTAAAGAAGCAGCTTACCTCACATGAACAGATTCAGAGATACATTTTTATTCATCTTTACAGCAATTATTTACAGTTGCTGTGCAAGATTATTTAGGGCATTCTGCAAAAGAGCAATGAAAAATGTCAGACCTAAATAAACCATTTTATGAAACACTTTCTGTTTTCATGGCTAATAGCTGTTTTTCAGTTCTATTAATAAGATTACAGTAACTTTCTGCATGCATAAAATCACAATGAGATACGGATATTTAGTAACTAGTATGATTGTCTGTCTTATTCTGTATTTGTACTGATTGTGGATACCTTGGGCCATTTATCAAGCAATTTCACATTCCCTTCACACCTTCCTTGATTGTGGAAGAATTTYTCCCAAGCAGGATGGCTTTAAGCCTTATTTTAATATAAAATTGCATATCTCATACATTGTGACATCTGCCCCATGCTGTGTTTGTCCTCAGTGCACTGTGGGAGACTGCAGGAGTTTCTTTTTGCATCCACCTAAAAGCATCTGAATTTTGCCACCCAGCCTTTCTGAATTTTGACTCTTCTCCGCTGACTCTTCGGTGGGTTTGCTGGCTCGCTTTCTTTTAAGTCTTTTTGGCTGTTTGGTGGCTGGGTGGGGGGGGGATGTCTGCTCTATGTTTTGATTGTATATGCTGAGAAAAGCCCCTCCATGGCAGAGAACAGGGCAGGAAGTTTCTGGAAACTTCTTATATTGCCCAAACCAGCCAGATTATGACAAGGGACCTTTCCTAAGCTTGCTTGGATGGCTACTCTCCTGGCTCATGACTCCATGAGGCTGATGGTGAGCATGGGGCTTTTCTGTCCTTCATTTTTYAGTGCAACCTGACATCTGTATACTGGTGATGAAATGGTGGAGTGTACAGTTTTAATTTGGGGACCCCAAAACTATATATTTACTTTTATTAGCAAATGCAAGTTTTTTTTTCTCTGTGTGGGTTACTTTAATCTGTTTTAATAACTGACACACAAGCAAGCAAGGTCTGCTATCACAGTCTGAAATTTCTGAGGTTTTCCTTAGCATTTTCCTTTCCTATATGCATRCATATTGTGTTTGAACAAATGCTGGTGCTAAATCAGTACGAAAAGACTGAAAATTAAAATGATTGCTGCYCTGTGACTCTTGCTAAAAACATTCTGGACCTTCTAAGCCCCAGATGGGTCAAACMTTTTGGTGTATATGTGTGCTAGCACTTGTTTTGAGATGCTGTACAGTGCTCTAAATTAATTATTTCAACTTGCTTGTGGGCACACACTACATTGTT